ACCGGGTCACACGTGGGTGGGGAACGTTACCCTAAATTTTCAGCTTCCTAGCTTTTATGGTTCCCGAGTTGAAAGTTGCGGACAAGTCCCCTTAAATTTTCAGCTTCCTAGCTTTTGTGGTTCCCGAGTTGAAAGTTGCGGACAAGTTGCTGCGTTAAATTTTCAGCTTCATAGCTTTTGTGGTTCCCGAGTTGAAAGTTGCGGACAAGTTGCTGCGGGAAACGTTACCCTAAATTTCCAGCTTCCTAGCTTTTGTGGTTCCCGAGTTGAAAGTTGCGGACAAGTTGCTGCGGACACAAACGCAAACACAGACAACCCCGTAACAATATGCGTTTTGTACTGCTGTTACACAGCACAAAACGCATAAAAATGAGAATTGGGTTCGTGGTGGTTTAAATGGTTTGGTTGGGAGAATTTTTTGGTGATTTAAATAGAAGAATTTTTTTCGGGCATTTGCTTTTGTGATTTTATTTGTACGTTTCCGACTCGCTTGAAGAAAATTGTTGTTGGCCGTGTTGTTGAGGAAGAAAAAATTAGATTATTGAATCGCGTAGCAGCACAGTTTGGTGATTCAAAAACTCATTTTTTTTCTTTCCGAAATCAGGAATTTTGCAACAGCGGCTGGGTTAATCAAGGACGTCTATACTACATTAGGGTTGCTAAGAATCCGGACGAACAAGACAGCAGAAGAACTGTTGCAACCACTGAACGGCCAAATTCTTTTCTCTCAGTTTCTGAATTGGAATTTAATTCCGCTAATTCCTTCTTCCGCGATACGAGCTGTGTTGAAATATGAAAGCTGATATTGGGATGCTAGGCCCTTGAAGGAGTTAGCAACTAAGTTTTGGAAGTTAGAGCACTTATACAATAGCTTACAACATTCTACTCGTCCAGTAAATAGGCTGAAAATATACATACATACATTCATATCGTCAGTATGTGCTTTCGATTTTGCATAGGTGTTAAAAAATGGGTAAAAGCACATTATGAAAAAAAAAAACTAGCTTTTCCCATTCGATCTGCATTAGTCTGGTAAAGTTGGAAAATATGAAAACGGAACGTGAAAGGGAAAAAAGCCGTTTCAGTTTAACATTCTTAGAGCCACTGAGACTCTTACTGTAGAGTACATGAAATACAACACAGAGGCTCTAGTCCCAGCTAGTTTATGCCTCTTATCTGGATGCCTTACGTAACTAGACCAAAATTCTTCTCAACTGCGGTGACTTCTACATCTTCCGAACAAATTACTATTCTTTTGCTAGTTTAAAAACTTTCGCTATCCTGTACCTTCCTGCACTAATAGTTACTAAGTGAGGCATGAGGGCAGACTTATAGGCGCAGTAATTGTCCGTCAAAAAAAGTTACCGGCCACATCCGCATTTGACTGAGTTTTGTCTGATGTATCACTAACGTCCATTTTTGTGAACTGAAATTGGAGACGGATGATACTATAAACGATATATAATTGTTGCAGAATTTTAACTACGTTCACTCTGTTCCTTTTGATGACTAGTTCCGTCACGAATTGTCGGCCATCTCCCAGTTATCACAAATAAAACCACATCCTTGTTTTTTTGCTTTAGTAAAAAGGTCTTCTGCTTGGACAGCGGTGGAACAAAACCTGAGTTTCAAAAAATTATAAAACCTTAGATTCGGCAAAAAAACGGTATTTTGGTCAAACTTCTGAGTATTGAGAAATGAGTGCCGTTAACTCAATCTGAAGTGTCCCTCATGACAGAAAAAAGCTTAAGAAACTGAAAAACTCTGCGACCGTAGGCCAGTGATTTAAAAACAAGCCAGTGAAGCACGACCACCCGTCCATGAGTTAGTGGTGATAACGTCTCTATGAGCAGTAGCAGTATTAATAACATAGTACAGCGTTTTCAATGAACATCAGCACATATTAAACCGGGAGGAAGGACTAACCTTCCAGCGAAATGAGTCGGCAAACAAAGTGTGATCCAAGAAAAGCAGAAGCAAATTTGACGCAGCTGGCTTACGCCTCACGCGCAGTCGAAAATGTCTGAAAACAAATTTGGCCCAGAATATAAGAGCATGCATCACTGTTGTGTGTTTCTTGTCCGAATGGCAAATTTGCATAAAATAATGATGATGTAGTAATATCTGTGACTTTGCTAGTTGCTAATCAGTTTGCAAGTCATCTTAAGTTCTTCCAAAAATCTATGAAATTAGGCATTCGGATGCGATTCGTATTAGTTGCGCAAGCTACGGGGAGTGAGAAAGCTCCATACAGTTCTGGTACTGTCCAAATGTGAAAGCTATCGCGAAGTATCGCAAGTGACCTTCGCAAACCTCCCAAGTAGTTGTTTTTCTGGCAATTACTAAAACTCGGCTCGGCTCGGCTCGGCACGGCTCGGCTCGGCTCGGCTCGGCTGGTGT